TTTTTTGTTTCTATGACCTATCACTCATCAGACCCTGCAGACAGAGAGAAAATAGGCCGCACATTAGCCGTGATTACTAAGGAGAAGCATCTTACTTGATCTGTAACTGTGTTTTGTTTTTGTTTTTTTTACAGTAAATGGTCCCCCAGACAGACATGGACCTGGAAAATGACGTCTCCCTATTAGATAAATGTGCTGTAGATGTAATGGAAAATGTGGCCATGCGAGATCAGACAGGGAAATCTTTGGCTGCATCAGATTAGCAGAAATCAGGAGTCTGAGCAGTGATGAGATGGAGGGAAAGAGGGGAAGGAGAGGGAGGGGAGCCATGCTGGTAAGACGGTGGTGGAAGGAGGGGGGCAGCAATGATGAGGCTTGGTAGGAAAAAATAGCAACAACATGAATAATTAACCAAAAAGAACATTTTTATCTGATAGAAGAGAGAGGGAGAGAGACATTTTTTTTACTGTGTGTCTGGTACTCTATTTGGCTCTTATTGGCAGCTATCAGCAATCTGATTGGATGTTCAACCTAGCAAAGCAGTGATTTAAGTTGGTTAATCACACCAACATTTAAACAGTCACAGAGATGTGAAAATCCTATTTGTTTTTTGAATGGCTGCACTAGTTCTCTGAGCATGGTGTGTGAGGGCCCCATAGAGATCTCCTGGCCAGTGAAGCAGAGGTTAGCAAGAGTTGGGCCAGAATATTGTTTTGGCTCAATTTTCACACTGTATGACGAAAGACAAGCTTGCTAACTGATAAGGCCACATTCACATCACTGCACAGATGCACCACATGCACACACAATCTCACACACAAAGAACACACAAAGATTGGCTAAACACAGTGGGAAGTGGGAATGCTTTGTAGGAAGTTGTGGCTGGGAAAAGAATACAAAGCTGCAGCATGGTAGTTTTTTTTCTGACATTTATGAATATCTCTGTCATCATTTCACACTGATTTGGCAGCATCGCTCCCAGTGAAATCCCATCTCCCAGATTACCCTTTCAAACTCCTCAGTGAGTGCTGAGAACAAAATGCTCTCACCATGTGTGAGTTGTATTGCATTATAAAGATGATTCCAGTTGCACAGTGTGTCTTGCAGGTGCACAGTTTGCAAGTTGTGCAACACCTAGTGGTTGTTGTTAAGCATCAATTAGGATCATGGGTATGCAATTGAACGGGGGTGGGGGCAGATTGTGAAAACCTGACAGTCCTGTAAAAGGCAAAAGGCAGGGTTCCTTATTCACTGGACCAGTTGGCAGAGTAGAGAAATCTGCAGCTCTGGAATTGCAGTAGTTGTATATTAGTAGTAGTATATTACCTAGTTTGAATATTTACATGCACACATACTAGCTTTGTAGCATGTACCATCTATCATTTTGCTAATTTGCAGATTTCCTTGGCTGTCGGGATTCATTAACAGCAGTTGTACAATCCTGCCTCAAAAGAGTGTAAACCATCTTTCTAGTGCATTTGAACTTGTTTACTTTTAAATATGGTATTTTATTATCTTATTACTTTACTTTTCTTATTATTAATTATGACAACATGCCCACCTTAGTGCTGTTGATTTCCTATATTGCTGTTGCTACCCAGCTATCCCTTTTAGTAAAATGTAGCCTTTAGAACTCCTTTTACAGATGCAGTTTCCCATTCGCAGCACATCCACCACTTCTGTATGCCATTCATGCAGCCATAGGCATGGTGGATCGGCATCTATTGTAATGATAATGGGGGCTTAAAAAACACTGTTTTCACTAGAGGCACATGTGCATCCAGTAATTCAGGAGTGTAAAGACTTAGTTAAAGGTGAATGGATAGAGTTTGTGGTCAGTAATTTCTTTTTTCGTGGTGCATTTAATATCATATGGCTAAGGCCAATACTTTTCACTCACTAAACAATGAATAACATTAAGCAACACTTTGAAAATATCTTTAACCTAAATCTTACACAAATAACATCATTGAAAAAACAAAAACAAATGCAAATTAATGTAAATAGAGACATTTACATACAATACATTGAACCCTTTTCTTCTTTTCAAACTGAGGTTTTAAAGGCAAAACAGTGACTAGTGATTCCTATCTCGTTTACTCAATCACCAACTCTTAAAATCCCTCATTCCCTCTTTTCCTCCTCCTCCTCCTCCTCAGTTTTTTTCTGTCCTCTAAAAAATGCTGTTTACTTCTTCTAAAAGTGGAAGTTTGGCGAGGGAGCGTGTGAACAGAAACAGATGCTGCATACTCTCTTGCTCTGTCACTCTTTATCTCACACATACACACGATGGCAAACAGCTGCATGAGGCTCGAGCAGCTACAGTAAAAGGAAGCTATACAGTATGCATATGCACGGCAGCAAGCTGACTTTCCAATACAAAGATGACATAGATATGGTTATAGCACAGTATAGATTGCTCTCCTTGGACCCTTTTTTTCTAAGGAGCAGTGCTCAGACTTGAGACCAGTATACTTCAGAGTGCTGCAAGAGACTTTTGAACTTGTACAAGTGGCCATAAGTACTTTTCTGATGATCACACATGGGGAAAGAAATGTAGCTACTTTTGTGCTACCCGTAAATCAAATGTTTTTGGAATAAAGCTTCTGCTATATAGTCACAATGACAACTAGCGTGCTGCTTTTTTTTCTGGGGTAAGCAGAGATTAAGTTAGCAGCCCCGTGTTCAGACTGGGCTGCATTGGTGGGGGTGTGTTGCTTCAGGTAAGAGCCGAGAGATGAAATACGATCCAGGAAGTCCAGTTGGAGAAACAGATTAATGTGTTTAAAGGCTTAGCAGACGTCAAAAGACAGCACAGTGCTTTGTACAGCCTTGTTCAGATTGACTACAGCCCTCTCATTCATTTCAATGGAGCTAGTCCATTGATGCAACAAGAGCATTAAGATAACCCTCCATTCAAATGAATTGGTCTGAATACAGCCTAACTGCTCTAAAAACCTTGTTGGATGATACAATGTACAGTTTTTGTGTATATTAATCTTAAATCATTGGCATTATGATTTCTTTGAGAGACACTCAAGTTATGTTGTTGTTAGTTGTGTAATTTAGTGTTTAAATGATTAGCCGGTTATCCGATTAGTCTTTTACCACACTTTTGCTAATCAATTATTTGTTCCATCATCTCTAAAATTGCTGTTTTTGAAAATACATTTTTGCAGGCATTGTTGAGATCAGATATAGTATATCTAATCAGATGTATGATCTGTATCTATATTTGTTGTTTTAAAATAAGATGCGGAAATTAACATCAGTGTTACAGCTGATACAGGCATAGTGTACAATATTGTGGTATAACTGTTGGTGAATAAATCTGGTCTATCAAAATTATAATGCTTATCTTATTGAGATATTAAACAAGAATTTGAATGATGTGTCTTCTTTAAATTGGTACTAGTGTGCAAAAACCTTGTACTTGTACCTTGTTAGTTCCAATATCGCATTAAGGTAAAAGCTGACATTATTTAGCTCAGATTTGGGAAGTCATCCAGGTATAACTTGAGACTTGTTCAACCTAGGATGGATCAAGTGCTAAAGACTCTAGTGAGCATGCTCACTAATCTGCCACCTGCGTCTTTACACCTGGGTTTTAACCTATATCTGCTAAAAGCCTTTGTCCGACAGTAGTGGGAGTTGCAATCCACCACCTACTATGTGCTACAATAGCATGTGGGTTACAGTATAGAGCTTCAGATGCACGGCCTTCCTTGTTTCTCCATCTTTCCACCCCCCTCCCTCTCTCCCTCTCTCCCAGCCACCTGGCCCTGCCTCTGAGCCTGCTGGCTGACCAGATGCACCCTGAATAAAGCAGCCTTACAAGGAGAGAGGAGGAGAGATAGAGGTTATTATAGGTGATTATTCAGTCAAATCTATTTTTTTTTGACAAGCTGTGGAAATACAGTAACCCACAATAACCCTTTCTCTGATTGCTTAGAAACAATTAGATATCACATTAGTGTGGATTTTACCTGTGTTTTTTTACGCCTTAAGTTATTCAGTGCTCTTCAGAAAGCGTGTATTCAATTGTGCATGGCGGCAAAGAGAAGGGGCAGCACCTTCTCTTAATGAACTGTTTGTGATTATCTGACAGCATTTGCTTGTTTGTTTACACAGCCAAGTGCCTGTGGATTCTCACACGTTGATCATGTTCTCTCAATTGTCAGTTGTCTAATTAAAAACAGATTAATGCTTTATTTACCCCAGGCTTAGAATGAACTTAGCACCATCCTCTGTACGTTCTAGAAGTAAACTGGCGGAGGGAATAATAGGCAGGAGTGAATAAAGCTTGCAGGCTGCCCAATCTCAGCCAGGCTCCATTATCTTAACTTGCATTGTCTCTACAGCAGCACTTGTGCGCAAGGCATAAATCAGACAGTGATTTAAGTTTAACTCAGTGAAGATGGAGCGCAGGAGATAAGAGAGCAGAAGAGGAGAGAAGAATAACTCATTCATGCTCCTCAAGTGTCCCCCAGTGGGTTGGCTGGCAAGGCAGGGCAGAGCCAGCCACATTAAGGAGCTGAGACAATAGAGGGCATCAATGAAAGAGCCTGGAAGGGGGGTGTAGTTAGTATAAAAACATTTTAAAGGGAGATCCCCTCTTCTCTTGAAGGAGTTGAGGGGAGGGTGGTATGGAGTGGGGAGCAAAGGCCCCCCTCCCTCACACACACATGCAGATTCACACACACACACACACTTTTGTCTCACTTGGCACGGCCTCTTGTTTAGCCTTTAGGTGCCAAAGCAATTAGTTATGTTAATTGCAGGGGCCATTGCCGGTGAATGCAGGTTGAATAGAGCCAGTCAGCAGTGGATGATTGGCCAGGATCCATGAGGGAATGGGTGGGGGGTGGGGGGTCCAGGGGGGCTGGGAGTTGTGACGTCACCGGAGCGCCTGGCCCATGAAAACAGAGGAGAGGACAGTGTGTGGGAAAACAGGGAGGAGCTAGAGCCGAAAGAGTGAGATCGAGAGGGTGGGAGGCTCAGAGCTTGAGAGAGCAAGCGCACGAGAGGACACAAATTCAATGAGAGAGACAGAGAGTGTTAAAAAAATAAGCACAGCAGCGGTGGCAGATTGAGTGAAGGCGATAGTAAGAGTGACAGAGCGTGCTTCACATGAGAGGAAGACAAACAGCGAGGACACTGAAAGAAAGTAAGAGAGAGATCGTGTGTGTGTAGTGCAGCGTTGCGCTGGTCTGCTCCGTTATCTGTCTCCATCTGGGTGCCATCTGTGTCTCTGGCTCTGGCCTTCGCCACACTGGAGCTCACATATGTGGGAATGCAAACACATGCCTGACATATGAAGGCGTGGAGTCACAGAAAGAGACAAAAAGGAAAGGATAAGAAAGCAAACCCCCGCCACTGCAGCTGACTTTCTCAAAGGACTGAAGACTGGACTCTACTAGAGTGGAGGTAGGAGAGAACTGTAGGGGATTTCAACATGGAATTGTGGAATTGGTGTATTTTCAGCAAATAGTGGTCATTTATCTCTCTTAGTGTTAGTGTGTCTGCTTTTGCAAACGGTGCATTTATGTGCGTAGTGTTCGTGTATGTGTGTGCCATTCTAATTCCCAGAGCTGCTCTGTACTGTACAGATGGTGCCTCATCCTTTCCTCTTTATCTCTTCATCTCTTCATCCTTGTCCACTGAGGCAGGAGGGAAGGAGGGATGAATTGGTCTGCCTGCTTCCTTTACCAGTGCACAAAAACTTCTGCTGCCATATGGACAAAATACCGATTGCTTAGGAGGCTCTTGCTATGCTGTGGTTGAGGTTTAGATGATTATTGTAATTTTCTTGAGTTTTATTGAGATGTTGTTGAGTTTCCAGTTTACCATTTACTTCTTCTGTTTCTCTCACTCCATGTAGTCCCTTTCCCAAATGCACCTCAACCCATACATGCTCTGGCAACCTTTAGTGCTTGGCATAATGTGGTAACATCGCTAGCAGCCGTTTTCATCACATCTTTAGTAAGCACAAGATACAGCTACATTCCTGGGTCAAGCAGCCAAAACCCTCCCCATCTGCTTCCATTTGTGGCAAGTGGGAGAAAAGTTGAATCTACTTGGAATAATGTGGGAACAGACTTGATTTTTTTTTCATTAGTAATACTGAAAAAACTGCTACTTCAACCGCATACATAAACCCAGCAGTATGATTGGCTCCATGTCTGAAAGGGCATATCTCTCTCTCATGTAGTAGATAGTAATCAGTTTTTCCACATGACAAGCAGAGCAGAAGAAAATAGGTAAAGAAGACGTGCATCTGTTGTACAGTACCCGAGACATATTGGAAGAGAAGGGGGAACTGCTGTGTCTGTCCTTCCCGCTGTGCCTACATGTTATACAACACCGATATCAGTGGGAATGTGGATCCCAACAGTGTGCAAATGTCAGGTTGTTGTAACATAGAGTAACTTGAGACATCCTTTTGTGATAACTTCTTTTTGTATCTAGTAGTACCTTGCAGGAGAAAGTGTGTTCTTATGGAGGGAGGAGGAGGAGGAGGAGGAGGAGGTGTGTGAGGGAGAAGCAGACGGAGAAAAGGCAGAGAGACCTGGCTAGTGTCACACCAGGCCAGGCCAGTCCATCAGGGAGATAGGAGAGACTAAATGTCGGCTGCACAGTCTCAAACCAGAGACCCCTGTCTGGTCTGCTGGACACTGTTACACTCCTGACAGCAGGCACTGTTCTGTATCTGTGTGCATGCAAATCTGTGTGTTTGTTCAAAGATCAAGGATGTGACATTTCAGTTTATTTTATTCAGAAAATGTATTCCTTACCATTCATGATGGGCAGTTACAGTTTTTGTCATGGGTTTATGTGGCTTTGAAGTTTTTGATCACACACTGGATAAGTGTATGGTTGAGTCTAAGGAAGTGAGTGTGTGCATGTGTGTACCAGGTGTCTTGTAGACACTGTGTCTGCTAAACTACAAGGTTGCTTGTCTTACAGCTTTCTGTAGCATTTTTTTCTGTTTGACCTTGCCCCCAGCTGTGAGTTTCTCTACTGAAAGTGTAGTAATAAATGTAGAAACAGACCACCATGACCCTTGCTCACCATGCTATTATCTGAAGAATTCATTCACAGAATACCCCCTTTTTTCAACACACATACACACAGAATAGAGCAGCTGTTTCAAGAGTTTGATGCAGGAAGTGCTCTATTAGTTCCAGTGGCGAGGGCTGTGATATCTGGCCCCAGGGGTTCAATGAGAGGTTGTGTGTTTTGAATGTGTTCGCTCGCTTACGTGTCTGTATGCGTGGACATGAAAGGGTTAGGTCATTTACTAAACAGAAACGGCTCAGTTACTATAAGTAGCGCTCTGAAAGATTGTTTCATCACATGGACTGTCTCCTGACTGTGTAAATGGCCGTGTGTGTGTTAGCGAGTGTGGAGACTGTCTGTGTCAGTGAGCATCTAACCACCTGCGCTCCCCAATCTCTCCTATTGCAACCCCATTGACATTGTATGGAAGCCCCTCTCCTTGTGCTAAGTGCGTGAGTCAGGGGTCTAGTGACCCTTTGCCTGCCTGAAAGACCCGCTCAGTGACCCAAGACAAGACCTTCATTTACTGGGCTAGTGTGGTCTTGAGACGGAAGAGTATCAGTACATACTTAAAAGGCTGTAAAATAACCTAAATTGAATTTCTCATCCAAATCAATTCAAGTTCTGATGTTCTGAATTGCTGTTTAATTGCTACAACAATAGGTACTTCTATAGGTGCAAAGAAAATGGGAAAATTAAAAGGTTTAAAGTTAAGTCTTACATTTGCATTTACCATTTCTTGAATAAAATAAGTCCAAAACAGAAGCACATCTGATGTTTTACGTTAGCAAACAGTTTCCTACCTACCCGCAGACACACAAATCCCCTGGTGTTGTTTTTCTGGCTACTGAATGTTAGTTACATTTTCCAATACTTAACCAAGGAGACTGATTTTTTGCAACAGGATGTATTTAAACTTGTTCGACTTTCTTGGAAAACCAGTGTATTTTTCCAATGCAAAACCCAAAAGAGAGTTGATACTCAAGAGGAATTGCAAGAGCAAAAAAAAATGTATTTGCTTGTGTTGTTGGGTTTGTGGGTGGACTAGAAATGGGTGGTGCTCACTCCATGAATTGTCTGTCATAGTCATTATTTTCTCCCTTTCTCTTTCCTTCTTTCAGTTCTGAGACAGTGTGGATAGAAATGGGAGTATTTTCACTAACAAAACCAAAAAAAAAGACGTCAAGACAAAAACCTTTAAAACACACAGTCATTGACTCTATGTACTGTTTTTGCAAATGAACCCTTCATATACTAAAAATACACTGTGTTCTTAAACATGTGCACTAAAACTCATACAGTGTGCGTACACATCGAGAACGCTTATCAAAACATGATTCTGCCCACACGTTCACAAACATACGCTCATCCTCCACAGCTATCTCTGTCTCATTCTCCTCATTGTTTTGAGCACAGCTGGCCTCTTTGTTTTACTTATCTGTCTCTCTCAGCGGCTGTCGAGCTCTGGTCTTTTATACAGCTGGGCTAAGCTTGCCCACAGCTCTGTTTATGGACTCTATGGACCATTACCTTCTGCTCAGCTTTGATTCACTGGATCCCCAAAACCTGAGGGTAACAGATTAGTCATCTGTATAGTCAACGCTTGGGGAAAAGATAATGTCTTTGTTTTTGTTTTTTGGAATTGTTTGTACTTTTTTCATGAGATTTTGCTTATGTGCTCAGTGATATGACTCACTTTCAGCGTGTTTCACAATACGCTTGACTCGCAATATGTTTTTGAAAGCCTGATCTGAGTTGTGACACACACATTGCACGCGCCAATGTACAGTTTTTATCTCAGTATTGATGGAGTTTCGAAGTTGAAGGGGAAGATCTCCAGAACAACTTGTGTACATCCATCTTCCATCATGTTTACTGTCAAGACACTCACACAGTGAAATGGCGAGAACACGTAGCAGTAAACCTCGAGACAAAGTCATTGCACCAACTCTCTCTCGGTCATGAAAGGCAGTGTAAATGTCTTCAGCATGGCCAGTGGTGAAAGCAACATCTGGTTGGACTTGAGCCCGGGCCATTCGGGCTGTTAAGGCCTCTGACACCTGGTCTGAAACAGGCCAGTCTTAATGTTTGCTTTGTTTTCTCATGTCTAAAGCTCGTATTTTGTTTTATGGACTACCGTAACTCACAAGTTCAGAGCGTGTGTCTGCGTATGTACGGAGTAAGTACGGAGTTGAGGAAAAACAGTGTTTTGCCTGGCTGCAGCTTAAGTTGATTGTCTGGGTTTATAATGTATAGGAGCCACCCAGTCTTAATCCTCCAGATACACATGATGATATATATCTTCACTGTGTGTCGGGGGAGCTCTATAAGTCTGCTCTGACAACAGTTTCTCTTTTCATGGTAGGAATTAATGTGCAGGGGGGAAGGGAAATAAAGAGAGCACAACTTCATTTTAATGCTTTTCCATAAATGCTAAGACTGATTTTATTTCACTTTGCAGTCTTCAGGTTTAAAGCACCACCAGGCTCATAATGATTGATGGGCAGGCTAACCAATTAGTTATGGAGAGGTGAGAAGGGTTGTAACCAGATAGGCAGATAATCTACTGGCCTCAGTGAAGGGGAGCTGGTGTGTGAGAGTCTGCGTACGTGTGTGAGTTTGTGTGTCTCGGAGCTTTCGCGGTTTGAGGTCATGATTGACAGATTTGAATTGTCCCTGTTATGTCACAGTTGTTATTTGTGTAGGTGTGTGTGTGTGTGTGCCTCTGGCAGGCCATTTCACAGGTGTGTGTGTGTGTGCACTTCAGGGATAACTGTCCTCCCTTCACTCAGCCGATGACAACACCCAACACCTGGTAAATGGGGCCAACACACACACACACACACACACACACACACACACCATCCAGCTATATCCCTCGCGGCCCAGCTGTGTGTGACGCAGCCATGTGTCTGTGTTGTGCCGCACTATATCGCACATTCATTTGACCCAGTGACAATGGAGCATGTACAGCTACACATATGTGTGTGAGTCTATGTCAGATACATATAGTTTTACCCCTACATTTATGCCTACCATGGGCCTTCTGGCTTGCAGTTATAGAGTTGGAAACTGGGAAGTGCCACTGTTAATACATTAATCTGAAAGTTTTCTTCTTTTAATAGCCTCCCCAGTGGCTCTTGGGTAATTTAACAACACAATATGTTTATGTTACGGTTATGGTTCTTCTTTAAAGTTAGTGCTTCATGACACTTAAAGTTGTCGTTTCAGAAAATGGGACACAACTTCTCCTCCCACTTTATAATAGGTACTGGTGTCACATTAAGTTTCAGTCCTCGTTGAAGTTCCCAACTCCGAAATTGCTTGCAGCAGCGAAACATGTAAAGATTAATTATCTCTGACTGTAG